GTTCTCCAGAAAGCCTCTCAAGCCTTCTTAGCACAGATTTGCGGGAAGGTTAACGTGTGTACAGATGGCCTCCACTTACTATTTATTTGACTTTAAAAGCCAGTTGATGCCACCCGATTTTGCTAAGTGGTGTTGGAGTAAAGAGGGGTAAATAGAAATTACCCCTCTTTGTCATATTTATCAGAATTTCATGTGGAAAAATCCTAAGTGTGTAATGTTCCTATCAGTTCACAAATCTTTTCTGGTTAGTCACATAAAATCCCAATGAACACTTTGAAGTGTTTTATTATGGCGCGATAAAATGTGAAGTTCAGGCAATATGACTACTTGTGCAAGGCAGCATACATATAAATTGTTTTTTTTATTATTATTTTATGTTAAATCCACAAGTTGCAAAGAAGCCAATGCCGTCTTACAGTCTGTGGTCTCAGTTGTTGTGAGGCTGGACATTTTTGGAAAACCAGTTTTAATTAGTCACACATTTAAAGAAGGGATATACCACAGCATAGCAAACATCTGGCTGTTTTCTTGCTTCATTCATTTAATTTGTCCTCCTCCATCTTGTAGTTTCAGGCCACTTTCATTTCACCACAAAAGTTTTGTTTTTTCCATTTGCACGTGTTCAGAGTTCTGGAGCTGTTTGCAAATATCTTTAGATTATTTTCCAGGTTCTGATATAAAGTGCTACTGAAGTTTTAAAACTGGACATCCCATCTTGTAATTATTTTTTTTAAACACAAAGTCCAGTGTGTGGTCAGAATGCAGTGTCGGAAGTTACAATAGAGGTGTCCTTTCTGTGTTTTTGAAAGGACTCCAATTTGCTCACTGTCTTCTTTTTCTCCAGGTTAAGGGCCCTTGACTTTGTGATAGAGACTTCCTCCACTTAGGCAATTTAAGGGCCAATCAATCAGCCAGTTAAACCTCTTTTTTCTTAGCATGCAGTCGAGAGATGGTTGAGGTTGGCCAGGGCACTGAAAGCAAGCAGTCACGCTGATTGAATGAAACAATAAGTTTTGTGACGTAGGCTTAGGGGCACAGACAATGGCTTCTCCAGTTTTGTCATCCTCGTTAAGCACTGAAAAGGAACCAACCTTTTGTGATAAGACTGGCAAAGGTAGCTACATATGAAATAGGCCCAGGAGCCAGAAAAGGAGGAAGTGGTCCTCTCTGTATCCATGGGTGGTCTTTTTGTCTGTCTCCATGCAAGTATGGAAACAATTTGAATATAATCAGAGAAACTGACCAATAGCACTAGACCCTAAATAAGACAGCATGCAACATACATTACTCAATATTTCATGTGCTGTAATGAGTAATTTGTAGTGTATTTGTCTCCATTTCTCACAGCTAAGCCGCTGTCAAATGTGACTTTTTAGAGCATCTTGGAATCCACTCAGAAGTATTATCAGTGGGAGGAGCCTGTCTATCAAATAAAAAGGATTCAATAATCTGTAAAGAAAGTATGCGGCCTGAAGCATCAGGACATTGTTAGCTAGCTCCAGTTGTGGATTAATGTTGTTTTATTGAGGTAATGAAGGCAAAGAAGGCTGGTTGTATGCAAAAGATGCCTAATATGTCTATCAAAATCATAGTTCAATTTCTTTTATCAATAGACTATTTATCACATTTAGAAGACGACTACATTCGTCCACAGTTACCAAAGAGGAAAAGTGCCTGCAAGATGTAGAGTGTGTTACTTTAAAGACTGTTGTTAGATTTGGGATTTACCGATTAAGGCACCAAGCTGAGCCCTTCCTGCAGGTTTTTGTACCTGTGAACTGTCCTGAATGTCTTCTCCTGTAGGGTCACACTTAAAGGCGTTGAGCGAACGACCTCTGCTCCACTGTTTCTCTTCCTTTTGTGGATGCTGCTAATCCACTCAAAGGAGGTGTCTTTGTAACACAGCATCCACGGGAACAGACGAGAGTGGGTTTTATGGTATGTTGCATCCCACATTAAGGATTTGTTTCAGTGAAGATTAGGCAGCAGATGGGGCTTGGTTAGGGGGTGGGCTGCCCAAAAATGCCCTGGTTAGCTGCCAACACTCTCTTGTGTCTTGAGTGGGGGAACTCGCATTCCCCTGGTTGTCGCTTTGTCATGCTGCCTGCAGTGACTCTGAGAGACTTCTGACCTTTTACTGTGGAGCTGCGTATTTTTTTTTCCACTTAAAGCTTTTTAGGAATGTCTCATTAGTTTGATCTCTCACAGCTGGGAGTAGCATTGTTCTAAAATATTTGGATCATGTTGAAACTACGTAAGTTAACCTGACCACTTGGGGGCTCTTATTTCGTCTTGTCTATCATCGATTACTTTCACACTATTAAAATTCCCCCACATTGTATAATCGGTGGAAAACTAAACTAATAAATTAGTTACTTTTATAGCTGCTTAGTCCTGGAGGAATGGAAATGATCAGGGATGGATTTGCAACGTGATTAAGTTGTTGCTCCCGATGGAGTCAGGTTTATGTTAACAAATGTGACAAAAAATACATTTTATTGAGGATTTTTGTTTGAAATTATGTTTTAAAATGACTGTTAAAGACACTGAAAACAAATCAATCTTGTTTGGATTTAGGGTTTATAGAGCCGTGCAATAATATAAAATGTTGAACTTTTTCATATTTTCCTAAGACCTTTATGGATTTAATTAGGAACTTATCCTAATAAAATATACTTGCACACAGTGGTTCATAATTTTCCAATGGAAGAGAGAAACCTGTGTTTATCAGTTTTCAATGTGATCTGATCGTGTTCAAAATTCTGCTCAACTGGCAATAAAATATTAGCCTCATGTCATGTAACTTTTTCTGTAGATGCTTATTCCACATTTGGACAGATCAGTGGACACATTGAGTCTTCTGCAATCAGGATGTAGCCTGAAGGGGTTGATTAAATAACGAGTTTTTATTCTGTCTGTGAAAAACGAAGCGCAAACTAATGTCACTGAGTTTATTCAAAGAGAACTTAGAAACCTGATGCCTTCCCTCAGACCATACAAGGCCAGTAAAATGGGATTAGAACAGGCAGTGCCCAGTAAAATGATTACCCGTCCTGCATCTGATTAGAGTTCATGAACAGAAATACATCTGGCAGGTGAGGGTTATTTCAGGTGACTTTCTACCAACTCTATAAGTATCATCAAAGAACAGATTTCCATCCTCGCTCCCAATAAATAAATTGACTTTGCCACTTCTTTCCTATAAATATTCACAGGTGGGAACAGCAAGGATGGGATGGAAGAGATGCAACATAAATCCTCCCTATCTATGGAGGCAGACTCAAGAACAAATGTATTATGCAAACAGGCTGTCATGTCTAATGGAGTTATAAAGATTTATGAAATGGGAAAGTATAAGACCCCTGAGGAAAAGTCACATAGAGCCTCTCAGCCCTGATCTGCCTTAGATTCTTTAAATTTCCCATTTAAACCAACATGGACAACCCTTGGAGATTTATGGAGACAGGTTCCCTTGTTCCATGAGACGGATGGATGAGCTGTACAAACCCTGCAGCAGTAAGAGTTTTACCATGTAACTCACTCAGTCACGGTTGTAGTTCACCAGTCATTGTGGTGAAGACTGATTACACTGATTTGTAACAAACGACAAGAACGTGGTAATAAATGTAGGCATTTGGGGATTTATTTGAACCACTCCTAGTTTCACAGTAGAGTCATAGTACAATGTCTTTAATTATTCTTAAAAACAAGAAAGTTTGAAACTACTGAGAAGTTTTTAGATCCAAGTCAAAATTATATATTCTCAAATGCCCAAGCTAATATTTGTTTGAATCACTCTGAAGTTGCAGACAATCCGAACACTTTTTGTAGACATAAACTAGCTTCAGACATAATTCTGGCTTTTTATTTGACCCATCATCAGAAATAATGGACTTCCTTCAAACTGGCTGGTTTCTTTGGACAGACTGTTTTTAAACAAAGTCCAGCATTTTTTGAGACATAAATCAAAAGGTTGAAGTCTGGGCCATGCCAGAGGCTTAGTGTCTGGTATATCCATTCTAGAGTCAGCTCTCTTGTGCATTTCAGATCATTCCACATTATTCTACCCACATTATGCAGTCCACTAGCACCTCTGGCAGTGAAACACACCCTCAACATGATGCTACCACCATCATGCTACCTCCATGGTTCAGGTTTCAAAGGATCACTTTGCTTCCTCAAAACATGCCATCTTGCCATTCCGACCAAATCAGAGGCTTAAAGCTTTTCTCCAGAAGGCATTTTGCTTGTCAATGTGGGCAGCTGAACATTTCAGAGGTGCTTAAATGACAGTTTTAGAGCAGGTGCTACTCTCCCACCCATGCAGTCTTTGGTTATGTAAAACCTGACTGAGCACAGCAACACCAGTGTTCTTGCATTTTCCAGTTCATGGCTGGCTTGAACCTTGGAGGTTTTCTAGACTGTCCATGAACATCTAACCATTTCCTTTTATCTGAAAGTGACAGCTTGGATCAAATTGGTAGAGGTGCATGTTTTAACAAGACAACAATTCATGTATAATTTCACATATTGACAATTTGTGGGCCATGTTTAAAATGAATAAACTCAGCTTAATCTTAACTACAGATTTATTTTGTTTTTTAAAGGACATTTATTTATATATATTTTAACAATGTATGCATGTTTTTGACCTTGGCTGAATAAAGAAGACAGCAACAGTAAGCAGGTTTTAAGCTGTTACAGTCAATCCTGTCTAAATCTGATCGTTTTAAATGTTAACAAACCTCTTAATGTGGCAGAGGTCTGCTTTTACCATAAAAGCCAAATTCTTTCTTCATTGCTTAGTGTGAACAGAAAAGAGTCCAAGTTTTTTCTAAGACAGGAATTAACAGGCTGATAAGTCTCTGTTAGAAAGCGGTCAGCGTTTGAAGGCGCAGATGTCGGCGTCTCATGAAAACAGCCAGGTGTCTTCGCTTCACTCAAGCATTTCTCTCTCCTCTCCTCTTGCGCCTCGTCTGTCCACACGGGCTCATGCAGCGATGTGCAGCGATGGAGTCTGCTTCAATGGGGGCCAGTGTCGGGAAGGACCCAACCAACTCTGTGAATGTCCTGCAGGATTCAATGGGCCAAGCTGTCAGTATGGTAAGTAGACATTCATATTCAGAACTCATGCTGCCTCTTTATTTTGTAGTTTATAACCACACACTTCAGAGTATTTTGTGACAGACCAACTCGAAGTTGCAGAGAAGCAGAATTTTTTAGAACTTTAGAGCGCTCTGGTTATCCATTGTCCACAATAGAAAGTGTATGGGACAAAACATGATCAGCTGATACGACAGATTGGCATCAAGAGCTTTAACCAGAGAAGCATTCAAGTGCTCCTTGATAACCCTGGAGGAGCTGCAGACATCCACAGCTCAGGTGGGAGAATCTGTTGAGAGAACTATTGATTCACTCCACTAGTCAGCTCTTTATAACAGGGTACAAAAAGAAAGTCATTTTTGAAAACGGGCCATAAGATAAGTTTTCTAAAAGCAATTCAGGAAGCATAGTAAGTATAAAAATAAAGTTGTTCATGCTTTCATTTTAGTAGGGAGAAAGAGTTGATGAGAACTAATAGGACTAGCAAAGGCAATTGTTAAAAGATTGTGCTCCAGTTGTCATGATATCTGTTGTGTGTGATGACAAAAAGGCTATTTTAGAGTCTAGAGATGGCACATGAAATTAAGCATGCTGCCAGACCTATAATAATCTCTGGTGCTCAAAAGCTGCTATCCTGCAACTTTGGAAAGGCCCAGCCAAAGTCCAGTATCCAATTGAAAACTTGTGGTCAAACTTGAAAGTTAATTCTAAAATGTGTTATCTATACACTCTGAGTTTAAACTTCTTTGCAAAGGGGAATGAGATTTCTGTGTTCAGTCTCAGTCTCCTACAAATGTAATTCTATTATTGACTCTGATGGACTGAATATATAGAGACCACCCACTTTCTGACTGTTAGTAAAAAATAAAAAGTGTAAAAACAATGTAAGATTTTTTTTGTTTCTTCCACTCAGCAATTATGTTGGTCTCACATAAAATATATATATATATTTTTATTGAAGCTTGTGACTATTCAGATGTTTGTGGGTATGAGTGTTTACTTTTTAATATTAACTCTAATGATTGAAAAAATGATGAGACTTGGATCTCATGAAAACTTTTCAGAGTGATCAACAGACATTATCTGCATCTGAAATCATGATCCTTAGCAGCTACTGGATTGTTTAGGTGTTGAAAGGAATCTTCCCATCAGCAGTTGGCTTGCCCACCAGAAAAACAAGCATTTTATCAGCAACTCCATTGTTGCGCTTACACAGCTGAAGTTAAACAGTGGAAGATTTTGCTGTTTTTCAGATAACTCCACACGACAGGAAATTCCTTGTAGTGTCAACTTTCTTTCTATTTTTTTTAAGCAGAAATATGCAGATCAGCCTCAAAGTAGACAGTGGAACATCACAGTTTTGGAAGAACGTAAAGACTCTTTTTGTTGAAATGCTATATGATGACTATGAACTCTGTCATCCTAATTCACCAACTCTACCAGCTGTGATTCCTCTCCCCCTCCCTGGTAATACCTATTACATAGCTTAATTGAAAGACTTAATAGTTAGCAGAGGATTTGTGGAAACACACATTACTGATCTCACCATCATCTTTAAGAGCATTTTCTTCACACACAACGTACTTTCAGTACAGAATGATTAAAATGGATGCAAAATGCTGCTGTTCATGGACCTAAATTTTAACCTTTTATTTATTTATTTTTTTGCAACCCCTAGCTCTAATGGTTAATTTCCTGATTACAACTGTTAAATACAGTATAGTGTACTAAAAAGTCTTGGGGCTGTCAATTGAAACAAGTAGAAAAAGATTCAATGTGTTCCAATTACAATTCTTGTGTGATACATCTTTCACTTTGCTCATAATTGTGAATGCATTTAGTATCAAATTATTCTCAACAGTTGCAAAATGTTTACACCAAAACACACAATTGCATCTTTGCTCATTTGTACAGAAATGTTTCTGACTTGCAATAGTGCTGGGAGAAACTAAGTACATCATTGTACTTTATGATTCAATCACTTGCAAAGCTATACATAGCAGCAATAACTTTAAATGGCCTTTTTCTTTGAGTCTCTCAAGTTGTTGTGGAGAAACTTTGGTCCATTCAGTTTATTGTGGTTTCCATACATTCATCTCTGCACAGTTCTTTCAAGGGTGGCCAACCACAGCATTCAAATCAGGTCAGCTCTGGATTTTAACTGTGTTATTGCAAACCTTTGATTCTTTTGTTTCTCATCTATTCTAATGTAGGAATCGTTGCTCTGTTTATTGCCTTCTTTCAGATGGGGACGTTTTGTCCAGTAGATGGACATTTAAAAGGTTCCTCAGAGAGAGGAAATGTCCCTGTTCTCATTGTGAAAATGTGCTGTAGCTCCAGTTTTTGCCATTGTCTTTTAAGGATTGCACGCTTCAAAGACTGGGAAGAGTTGCTCCTAAGATGTCTCTTCTTGTTGACAATGGGTTAACATTGTGGAAACACACAGGGCCATGACTATCCAAACCAACAAACTCCTAAAACTCCTATTTTATCAGAGGTTGTCACCTTCCCAGATTGATTTAATCACAAACAATCATTTTGCATCTGCTGGCAGCTACTTTACCTCTTAAAAGCTATAAAAGCAGCAAGCCTGCACTTTGTTTTTCCTGGGATTGTTCTGATAGGAAGACAGAAAGTTGGTGTAGTGCTGAAATCTGGGACTCAGTTTCCTGGTTTTTGATGTTAAACCAGCAGCTCTTTGTAAAGTAATGAAAGGTCAATTATTTTGATTCCAATCTGCCTTTTGCCCGAGTTGAGTGATATCCATGCAGCCATCTTGACTCCCGTCCTTCCTGCAAACATAATTCTTCTACAGTCTGATATATCAATGATGGTGCCCTTAATGTTGATCAGTGCAAAGGAGCCCCCGCACCTTGATCCTTTCAGTACTGGAACCTTTTATTGCCCTCTGATTAGCACCAGACGATACTAGTGGAGCGGCAACACTTGTGACAAGAGTTCAGTCTTCGTAAAAATAAACCACAGCTGCTGCTTTTTTTGGCTCCTCATGTGCCAAATGCAGGTCATAGTAAAGGGTTATTAGGATGAGGCTAAGAGATGCAGGTAGTGTGTGAAATAACTGTTTGTTTTCATATGTCCTGAATCGAATTTGCGGTCCAGTATTTATGAAGATCAATTTTGCGGTCACAGACGTCTAATTTTACTGCTACTTTTACATTCTGAAGTTCTGTGGTTCAATCACTTTGGCAGGCGTACAGATGTTAGCATGCTCATCGTCCCATGACGCCAGTTTATTACAGTTGCAGTCTCTGTGCTTTACACAACTGTCAGTCCCTCCTTGTTCATCTGCTGTCATGGTTAGAAGCCGCAGTGGCTGAGCACGAATGTTTGCAGTCAAACATTCACTCATCACTTAAGCACTTAAGGCGTTCTCTGAAGCATTCCTCCCCCGTCGCATGTAGTGATATCCCATCGCAGCCCATTTGATGTGGTTAGTCCATGTTCGAGCATAACAGCTGGGGTGTGTTTACGCCAGTCAAAAGGGTTAATTAGTCTCCTGCACACAATGGTTGTCTGAAACCCCCATGTGTTTTGCTTTCTTCCAGCAATGCGCTGCAATGATGCATAAGACAATAATTACTTTTTTCTTTTTTTTTCAATTGTTGTGCCTTAACTCTGTAGCACAGAGTCTGACTTTTTTATTTCACGCAATAAATCCCATAATTCATGAAGATTTTTTGATGATAAACCATCTTTGGTCATAGAGTTCAAGGTTAGCTTAGTGTTAGCTACACACTAACTTTTATAATTTTGCAACGATTTTTAAAATTTTTGAAATTTGAGAGTTTTATAACTTGTCTAGAAAGCTGAGCTGCTTACGATTAGCTGAGGGCAGCATTAACCATCAGAAGTTTGTGAGATTCTCAAACTAGATGGTCACCGGCAGCCTGAGGCAGGATGTATCCACGCTTTCATGTTGAGGCCAAATTCTGACCCTGCCATCTCAATGTTGCACCTGAAATTGATTTTCACTGGGCCATCTGTTTTTTCAATTGGTTAGTGTTCTGCCACAGTAGCCAATCTGCTTCAAGGTTCAATTGGCAATGCAGTCAGGCCTTTTATTCCACATATGTTGAGTGGATATTTGAGCTATTGTTTGGTTTCTATAATTTTAAATCACTCTACCCATTCTTCCCTGACATCAAGGCCTTTTCTACACCAAACTGCTGCTTACCCAACATATCCTCTTTTTTGTACTGTACTCTAAGTGTTTGTGAATCCCAGCAGAGCACAGTTTTTTAAAATTTTTTATCTACATTAGCCCCTCTGGGGCTTAAAATCATGCCACATTCACTTACTTAAATCCTCCTAATCCCTATTGTAATGATCTTTTTGAACTTCGAGATGTCTAAATGATTCACTCATTTCCTTTTATTGCTTAACCAGTTGAACAGGTGTACCTAAAAGAATGGCCAGTAAGTGTTTAACAGAAATGCAGAATGATCTGTCACCAAGGCACTGTTTATGTTGGCGCACCTGCCAAGATATTCACCCGGAGCACAGAAACACTGCAAACCCTGTGTTGGGCAGAGCTCTTTACAGAAACTTATTTTTCTTTCCCTCTCATACTGATAAGATTTTTTTATTTTCAAAAGAGACAACGGTGTTTCTTCCTCTAAACTGTAGCTGAAGCTGAAGGTAGAGGACAAAGACTCTTATATTTAGTGAAAATCTGCAGATTATCACAAAGTCTATGAAACATCCTTTTGCTGACATGTTGTTTGTTTCAGAGCAGCGTGGTTTGATTTGCTCAGCTTCTAGGCTGCATCCTGATGTGGTCCAAGGGAATCGTGCAAGACTTCCTGGGTCAGGAAGTAGTTTGACCGATAGTCTGTGGGGAATTACGTGTTAAATTCCACAGCAATGTCAATTTGGTCTTTACACTGAAGGTGGTTTTCCAATGTTCTGCAATCCAGCCATGTTCAAACAGGCCTTGGAGGTTCTGGGTGCTGAAGGATGATTTTAATCTGGGGTGTAAG